CTGCGCCCCTTCCTCTCCGCGTCCACTAGGCGGTAGAGGGAGCAAGTAAGAGCGATAGAGTACAGCAAAGCCCAGCTTCGCGGTGCATGGGGGATGATTCCCTCCTACGCTCTGGGACCCAGCCCCACCACCAGCCGTTCTCTCTTGGCCCCCGGCAATAGCAAGGGCCGACATGCCGATATACGTGCAAATTAAATGACACCAGCAGGGACGGGAGCACCTCCCCCTCCCCACAAACCAACAAATTCGTGCATAGCCCGGTAGCTTCTACAGTGAGTAGATCTTTTCACGAGTTATCACTACACAGCAACACTCCATTTTCAAAAGAAATGTCAGTTACTTGCTTTTTTTTCAAATAAAGCTATTTTCACTGGACGTCTTTTTAGAAGAATTATTGGACGTTAATTAGACAGTTTGTCAGGCGTGCGCCTTTATTTATGTACTTGCATACAAACCGACGATTCTGCGTTTAGTTCGAGTGTAAGGTCTGGCATGTTTGCATAAATGAAATGAAATAGAAAGAAAAGAGTACTACAAGATGAAATCTACACTTGATGAGGTAAAAGACAACTTGGCGCAGATATTTTTTTAACGGATTTTGGCATATATATTAGTATATTTTACACTTGATATTTATAAAGGATTTTTATCACACGTAGATCTAATATATATCCTTGTGAAAGCACAGTGACAGCTCAGTCCTCACCGTGACCTGTCAAGTCCAGCTTCAGCCGGACCATATCTTCCTGCCAATGAAGAAGATCTAGTTTTATTATGCTTAATAAAACGAATATCATGTAGTAATATCTACGGTCCAATTACTATTTGTTTCTCCGAGGCGAATGCACGAGAAGTAAACACTCTTCTGCCAGCACTAATACAAAAAGCTAGAGACAAAAAACAGAGAGGCCACATTTCCGACGAAGTGGAGCTGAGGTCTGTCGCCGGGAGGGGCTTGGTCCACGTGGGGGTATGTATCTGTGTATCGACCTTGGTGAACAGTTTAAATTTAAACTAAAATCACGACACTTATTTTAGATCAGAGGGAGTATTATAAATGCATGTCCTGAGATTGATACATTTTGCTATACCACGGTATAAAACTTTCAACTCTATAAACGAAAAAAGTGTGTACGCATTCGTGCTATAGGTGCATGTCCTGAGATTCGTGCCTACTTTCTTCTATATCTATGCGTACTAATAAAGCAAAGTGTTTTTTTTCATCCGTTCACGGCCGTAAAATATTTTTTTACTATCCAAGGTGGTACTAAATTTGTGTGCATCTGTTTGCTAGAAAAGGAAAAAACGATTTGTCCAGAATTCAATACATGGGCCCCGCACTGTGGCCCAATGAAGCCAGCCCACTTATGTTCCTGCCCACGCAGCTGGGAATAACCACCTATTTGCCGCATGTGCCGGCAAATGATCGGGGTTTCGCACAGGGCACCCAAGGTTGGTCTGGACCGATATTCTTTTTTCTGTGTTATGTTTCAATTTATTTTTTCTGTTTATTTCTCTTTTTTCACGTTTCTTTTTTATTATTATCCCTTCCAAGTTTAGTTTCCTTTTTTACCTTTTTCATAAATTCATGTTTTTACAAATGTTCAGAATTTCATTTTTTTGTTCGGATTTTGGAAAATGTCCAAAATTCCAAATTATGTTCCTGTTTTGAAGAAATGGAACTTTAAACTTTTGTTCTCATTCCAAAATTAGTTCAAAGTTCAACAAATATTCTCATTTTTTCAAAAAATGTGTGTGTTTTAAAAAATTGTTCGAGATTTTCTAAAAAATGCATTTAAGAAAATATTCCAAATTGGAAAAATATTCTTATTTTAGTGAAATGTTCATCAATTGAAGGCGAAATATTTTAAATAGTCCCACGTTGCTCCTTTACATATAGTCGTACCAATTATATATCTGTAGAACCTACTTGTAGTAAGCTGGATGAAGGATGTATGTATTAAGCTAGACAAAGAATGAATGGATTGGTACGTGAGCTAGATTGGAAAGGATCCTGGATTTCATAAAATGAAAAACATGTCCATTTTTTCAAAAATATTTGTGTTTTCCAAAAAAAATTCAAAAACAATGCTCAACACATAAAATATGTCCCTGTTTAAAAATACACATTTTCTAAAATTCTTCTGAACATTCGAAACATATTCCAGTTTTTAAAAAAATCACAAATTAAAAAATATTCATGTTTTTATAAAAGTTGCAAGTTTTAAAAAAATATTTGAAAAATGTTCCCATTTAAAAAAATATTTTCCGAAAAATTTATGATTTTTTAAAAACACACTATTCACATTTTTAAAACTGTTTGCAATTTCAAGAATTATTAATGTTTCCAAGAATATTCGACAATTCATAATAATTATGATCACTTTGAGATGTTAATTTTTTTAAAAAAATCAAAATTTGATGTTGTAGTATGTTCTTAAATATTGGCGGTGCCCATTGGTTAGCATAAGGTGTTTGTTCAGGTGGATGGCAGCACTTGGTCGGGTCTTTGAAGTGGTGAGTTCGATCCTTGAACTCATCTTTTTGTTTACTCGCGCGTTATAAACACACGTCGTTTCGGTGCCTGGGCTTTTCATAGCACATGCAACCTAGCCGGGCCAACTACCTAGGAAATATGGCAAAACATTTTTAAATGGTCCTTCTTTACATACAGTGATACCAATTTATATACGTGTATGAAACTACATGTAGTAAGTTGGATAGATGGATTAAGCTGGACGGATGGATGGATTGGTACATGAGCTAGCTAACCTTAAATTTCTTGAGGATTGCAACCCAACGAAAACAAAAGAGAAGACTCGATTACGTGATCTAGATGCATGGAAAAGAGAAGACCCGGCTCACTCCCATATTATGGAACTTCACATCTTAAATCCGAAAAATAGCATAGTAGAATCAATTTCTGTTGTACTATATAGGTGACCTGTAAATGAAAAAAAAACTGCCTCACGTTCATATTATGGAACTTTATACCTTAAAATCCCCTCGAATGAATGAAAAATAGATTTACGCGCCTTCTCTGACGTGCAATGACCTAACAAAATCCAGGACCTAAATATATAAAGTTTATACCTTAAATCCCCTCGATCAATGAACGGAAAAATAGTGGATTAGTTACTTCGCACGTGGCAAAATTCACAATTTAAATGTTCCTTCTGGCATGCACACAGTATTACGCTTGCACATACAATTTTCACTAAATTTAAATGTACATTATTTTTTCCTCCGTGGCAATGCACAGACTTATGTGCCAATACAATATAATAGCAGAGCGAACGGGTAAACAAAAAGTACGTTCATATACGATATAAATGCATTCATGTGTACATAAAGGTGGGGCCCGATGATGAACGTCAACTGCCTTGCGGGAACAGGCGACATCTCCGAGACTACCGGCCGCCACAGCAAAGAAAAGGCTCGCACACCAGCCAGGAAAAAAATTCTATGAGACCAGGTCCCACGGTTTAGCAGGTGAGACCCATTTTAATGGATGACACGTGGCATTTGCAAATTACAAAACATTTACCCCACCGGCCTCTGCCGCCGCCCTCGCCGGTGGACTCCAGCGCCCGTGCGACGACACGCTTCACTCACCGCGTCAGCGGCATCAGCCCACCCCAACAGACATCTGGATCGTCTTCCCCGGTCTGCATGCCGCTCTCGCCTCCTTCCGTTTCCCACTTCCGAATTAATTCTGTGCAGCACCATGCATGGTAATCTTAATGAACTTTTGGATCTGGATTCTGACCAAATCTTTTCCTCTTCTCCTGCGATAGATTTCTTTGCACAACTTGCCGCGGCAAGGAGATGGGGAGCAAGCCAACGAAGGAGGCCACGGGTAACAACAATCCCGCGAAGGCTGTACCTGCTATATATTTCGCTTCTATCCTTCGAAATAGCAGCCACCGTGACGGCGCCATATACAAGAACAAGCATTTCTGGTTTGATGCCGACATTACTGACCACACCGAGAGGACGTCTATATATATCCAAATTACCAAATCATCTATGTATATTGTGTTAAAATAAAAGCATTTCCCTTGTTTTTATCCATATTCTATAATGAGTGCAGCATTTGCTGCCCAAGTCACAAAAGGTGTGGTGACTAAAATAGCATCATAAGTGTAGCACAGAGCTTATCCTATGACATGCGGACCATGTGGCTGAAAAAGTGTTGCAAATAGCTCGAGTACTGTTTCATGACAGGACTTAATTAGATGACCCAAAGTTGATGGATTAACTAATTTGAGTCCAGGTTCACAATAAGGGTACTCATTGTTTATCCTTACAGAATTTGGCAATTCATGTGATGAATTCATGTTATCTATACAAGTGTTTTTTGCTATTATGACGTCTCTACCATTTATTGTTATAAGAGTGTACTCCCTCCATCCACAAGTGTAAGCATTCTAGTTTTCTAGGGCAGACATTTGCCGACAATGTTGGAAGAGAGGTTGGGAGATTATTTGGTGATGGTTTGCTTTGGTCGAGGTTCAATACTCCAGAAATGCTTACATTTGTGGACAAACCAAATGTCATAAATGCTTGCATTTGTGGGTGGAGGGAGTATTATACTTGACCTCTACTTTTATCAATTTTGGAAAAACTACATGTATATGAAAATCTCTTAGGATCATAAACTTGTTCAACTTGGGTGTTTTAAAACATGTTTTTTTTCATGCCTACATTGAGCTAGCTGACAGTATTCTTTGTACAATGGTTCTATACAACTTAGCGCAATTCATCGGTTAAAATGTTGTTTATCTTTTCATAATATGTAATTTCTCCACTATATGAACTAATAATTGTTATATATATATTATGTACTTCTTGGTGAAAGCTCGGTTGGAGCCGATGAGGTTCTTGAAGCCAACCCGGAATTTTTATTTTCCAAGGAACATGTTGCAATTTTTCTCATTGATGTTGGCTGAGTGTTACAATTGTATGGGTACATAGCAGCACGGGATGATAATGATCAGATGCTTAACTATGTTTTAAATCATAGTAAGGATGATCCCGTCATCATGCATAAGGTAAAGTTCTAAACTTATCTTTGAACATTGGTAATTCTATTTTCATACTCCCTCCGTCCCAAATTAAGTGACTCAACTTTGTACTAACTTTAGCAAAGTTAGTACAAAGTTGAGTCACTTATTTTGGAGTCCTGTCACATGCATAGAAGAAATGAGATTCAACCTAAATACTTCCCTTGGTGCTTGTTTCAACCACTTGATAAATTTTAAATCATAAAAGCTGGGATAGAGGATGGAAATATCATATTAGTTGTTGCCTTGGTTTTGTTTTTAGTAGAGTTATCACCTGCTTTGTTCCCAATTTTTTATGTTTATACTTTATACTTGTGCACATTAGTTAAGAACATATAAAAATAACTATGATGTGATGTGCACAAATAGAAACCCCTCTGTGCAGATAAAAGTTGTTGTTGTGCCATTTTTATCCAGCTTCTGTGTATTCTCGTCATCTGTGGTATCTGAACCATTGTTGCTGCTATAGCACAAACATGTGAAAGAAAGCCAACATTGTTAAGCTTGACATGGAGCCTTGCCGGTTCATAGCTAGTTGTCTAGGTGCTTGTGGAATCTGATAGTCTAGAGGCTTATCAGTGACATACCATTTCTTTGTCGCAGACGGGCCTTTTTTCGAGGAACCTCTTGGAGAGGGTAGGGGGTTTCCACAAGTTCCATAATTAAGATGGATATAATTTGTCCAGTTTATAAGGAAACTAGGCGCAAAAATATACAACTTATAATGAAAATTGGACCCCAAGAATCTAACAAAGTTGAATTAATTAGGGAGAAACCGGGCAAAAACCACAAGCATCTAAGGCCGCAAAACCTAGATAAACTAGGCCTTCTTTCTGATTTGGCATAGCAGTTATGGGCATGACCGGATTGTTGTGGTGTCTATATCATGAGGATCTTATGTGGGTCAATCTGGATGTATTTGTGTATGCAAATATATTTGCCTCTCCAAGCAAAAAAATAAATATGTTCGCCTCTGATAATACCAAGCTGAAATTGTGCAGTTGTTAATCGGATGTAAATTTCATGTGTGGCATGTGTATTTATCATTTTCTGACTTGGTATTACAGATTTATTGCCTTTTCTAGTTATTTCTATGGGAACATAATCATTCTCACATGTCACATTTGTTTTGTAGGACTCAAATTATTTTGGGTTTTAAGAGTTCATGCTTTATGCTCTAATTTATCTGAATTGTTGGTGTATGGCTAACGTTCATCTGTTGATATCAAATAGATATTTTGCTAAGAATTTATGATTTACATGATCATTCATTTTAACAATTGATTACATGGCCAATGTTCGTCGGTAGAACCCATATTATTTTGTTTTCTAAGATTCCATGATTCATGCAATTTATTGAAATTGTTTGCACATCAGTAGTAATGATAAGGTTTCTAGTTTTAGATATTTCTTAAATTTTTATGCACAACTATCAAATGATAACAACTATAGTCTTATAGGGCTCTCTTATTCAAATGACTGGCCCCAAGAGAGACATCTAGCTGGTCTCCCCTCTCCTAATAGAGTTTGATATAAGGATCAAGAACGGAGAGCGAGAGGAAGACGATGAACAGCTGGTAGATGGAGCGATAACTTGCAACGACTGCAGGGCATGGAAACCAGTCAAGCAGCGCATCAAAGGTGATTGCGGTGCCGTCGACATATCCATGACGTGTGTCGAGAATGCGTTGGAGGCAACGACAGAGGTAGCCATATCAGAAGTGCGCAGCGGTTTCAGTCTATCTCTGCGGTCCTTCATTTATGTCTTGGATGATGAGTACGAGGAGATCCAGCTCTTCCATGGTGCCATTGATCGGCCGTGTAGGTTGGGGAGGTTCGTGGTCGCAATCACCTGGGGCGACGTGATGGTGCTGAAGTTCAGGTTGGGTGGGGAAGATGGCGTCGAACGGCGCCGCTCTTTTAAATCTCAGCTTCTTGCGTGTTCTAGTCGGCGGATAAAGCATGAGCTGGCCAACATCTTTGGTGAAGGTGACTTTGTCCACTATTTGAATGTCCACAGACTAATCTGTTGGAAATATGAGTAATTTACCATATGATTTTATTAATGGAAAAACTAAATAAAGCATGACTAAAATAGCAGAGATGAAGCAAGTCATGCGATCTAACAGAGAGAAGGTAAATAACATCTGCAAATATGAACTAGAACCAAACATATCTAGAGCAGACAGTAGAACAAGGAACTGTGACAGGACCTCTAACACGAAAAGCAAGAACACGTACGGGACAGCAGTAGCAACAGTAGCACTAGACTTGGGGTCGGTGTCCTTGATAGCCATGTCATCGAGGAGGTTGTCGACGTCGGGGAAGTAGTCGTCAGAGTCCGGGGCGTCCGTGACGAAGAAGTCAGTAGTCGTGTTGAGCGCTCCCCAAAAACCTTATCACCCTTCTCCTGTACAGGACTCAAAGCGGTGGAGTTTCGGAGGCCTACTGTCCCGACCTGCGGTGCATGCAGCAAGCCGGGATAGGGAATATTATAGCAGCAGCGCAGTGCTCAGGAACTTTTTGGTGAGAGGAAGAGGATCTTCTTGTGCATCTCTCTGAGAGGAGCGGCCTCCCTTTTATAGGCGCAACTGAAGGAGGCGAGAGGCTGCGCTGGGAGTTGAAGGGAATGAGGGAGATGAAACAAACAGGAAGCAACGTTCGCATTCAGTATCCACTACAGCAAAAACTTTCCAGCTCCCGAGTGACCTTTCGTATACCCATAGTGCGTGGCAAAAATTTAGACATCATCTCATTCCCGCAACCCACGGCGCGGCGTGTCGTGAGAAGGCGTGGCGGGCGGCGGAGGAGGAGTGCGTGTGGATGTCCCTCTTGTTCTCATGCTCATACAAGTGGAGAAAGAACCTCCCTTATAAGGAGGTCCAACTCCCACTAAACTAGCAATGTGGGACTAAACTTTAGCAGTATCCCTTGCCTTGCACGAATGGGCTAAGTGGGCCTCTAGGATTTATTAGGAATTTCTGAAATAGTTATGGCGATGTCCCAAAATAGATCCCAGAGGCACACAAGAATTGCCTTTGATTTCAAAACACTGTTTTATATACCGGTACTGCAGTGGAGACTGTTAAGTTGAACTTCCACCTAGAACTCTATGCTACACTAGTAAGCAACTTAAACAGTGGACTGGGCCTTGAACTGCAAGTTTTCTGTGAATCTAGCTTCACACAAAGCCTTGACCGATACTGGGCTACCGTGGGTCTTCCCCGCGGGTGGAGCTCATGCATCATACTCCGAGACCTTTCATGAGTTTACTAAAGAGAACCCTGCTCTCATAGATTGCAACGTTTAACAATCAGACTCATATAGGTGTGTTCTTTAAAAGATGTTCTGCAGGACAAGATCTCTTCTTAAAAGAGCCACTTAGAACACATTAAGATATACATCAATCTGCCATGCAGATTAGGGGAGTATTGCATCTTGATGGAGTGGTATTGTTAATAATAAGGATACTCTCTTCTCAGTTGACGAACAGCTTGTCTTCCACATCTAATTCACGGGATCTCCGATCACAAAGAACAGGTTACCACTGTGAACAACTCATATCGTGGGTCTCATACCCATCTCCCTAGATGCATTATCTATCACATTACGTGATAGACCCTTAGTAAAAGGATCTGCCAGATTTTTAGACGTTTGGATATAATCCAATGCAATAACTCTGGAGTTTCTCATTTTTCTGACAGACTTTAACCTTCTCTGAACGTGTCTTCATGACTTCATGTTATCCTTTGAGCTGATCACTTTCGTGATCACAGTCTGATTGTCGCAGTTCATAAGGATACCCGGTACAGGTTTCTCAACAACCAGCAAGTCATTCAAGAGCCGGCGAAGCCAATCAGCTTCGACCGTAGCTGTATCTAGTGCTGTGAGTTCTTCTTCCATTGTTGACCTTGTTAAGATGGTCTGCTTGCAAGACTTCCAAGAAACAGCACCACCTCCATGAGTGAATACATATCCGCTCGTGGCCTTTATCTCATTAGCATCTGAGATCCAGTTTGAGTCATTATACCCTTCAAGCACCTTTGGGTGCCCAGTGTAGTGAATTCCATAATTTGCAGTGCCTTTCAAATAACACAAAACTCTCTCTAGAGCTTTCCAATGCACATCTCCTGGTTTTGAGACAAACCGGCTCAGTTTGCTAATAGCAAAAGAGATGTCAGGTCTTGTAGCACTGGTTAAATACATAAAAGAGCCAATAATCTGAGAATATTTCAATTGGTCTCTAGCAATTCCTCGATTCTTTCGAAGCAACACACTAGCATCATACGGTGTTGGAGAGGGTTTGCAGTTACTGTAGCCAAAGCAACTCAAGATCTTTTCCACATAGTGAGATTGAAGCAATGTAATCCCACCATCATCGTCTCTCAACAACTTGATGTTCAGAATGACATCAGCCACTCGTAAATCCTTCATCTCAAAGCAACAAGATAGGAAATCCTTGACCTCCTTAATAACCTTCAGATTTATTCCGAAAATCAGAATGTCATCAACATGCAAGCAAAGGATAACTCCCTCGCCCCCACCATGGCGATATTACACACATTTATTAGCTTCGTTCACAACAAAGCCTGCGGCTATTAAAGTTCCTTCAAACTTCTCATGCCACTGCTTGGGTGCTTGCTTAAGTCCATACAAAGACTTTAGCAACTTGCACACTTTCCCTTCCTAACCATCTACTATGAACCCATATGGTTGTTCCATATAAATTTCCTCTTCTAACTCTCCATTTAGGAAAGCAGTCTTAACATCCATTTGATGAATGAGAAGACCATGTGAGGCAGCAAGTGAAAGTAGTACTCGAATAGTGGTCAGTCGAGCCACAGGTGAGTAAGTATCAAAGAAGTCTTCACCTTCCTTTTGGGTATAACCCTTAGCCACGAGCTGAGCCTTGTACTTCTCAATAGAACCATCAGGCCTAAGCTTCTTCTTGAATACCCATTTGCATCATATAGGTTTGCACCCATAAGGACGATCGGTTATCTCCCAAGTTTCATTTGCCAAGATTGAGTCCATCTCACTACGGACTGCTTCCTTCCAGTAGTCAGCATCTTCAAATGCATAGGCCTCTGAAATAGAACTGGGAGTGTCATCTATGAGATACACAAGAAAATCATCACCAAAGGACTTTGCAGTCCTCTGCCTCTTGCTTCTAGTAGGAACTTCATTGTTCTCCTCCACACGACTTTCAAAGTGTTCCATCGAAATGGCAGGTTCAGTAATTGGGTTCCTGAGTCGATGAACTAGGTATCTCCTGATTAGATGAGGTAGCCATATCCTTCATGGGAAAGATATCTTCAAAGAAAGTCGCATCATTCGACTCCATAATCGTACCGACATGCATGTCAGGTACCTCAGATTTTACAACCAAGAATCTATAACCGATGCTATGAAAAGCATATCCCAGGAAAACACAATCCACAGTCTGTGGTCCAAGCTTGCGCTTCTTTGGAATTGGCACATTGACTTCCGCCAAACAACCCTAGGTTCGTAGATACGAGAGCTTTAACCTTTTCTTCTCCCATTCCTCGAATGAAGTTATCTATTTATTCTTTGTGGGAACTCTGTTTAGGACATGACATGCAGTCAATATCGCCTCCCCTCACCATGCCTTGGAGAGACCCAATGTATCTAACATGGCGTTAACCAAATTAGTTAGAGTACGGTTCTTTCTTTCGGCCACCCCATTTGACTGAGGTGAATAGGGAGGCGTCCTCTCATGGACTATACCATGTTCCTCACAAAAGGAATCAAATTCATTTGAGAAATACTCTCCACCACGATCGGACCTAAGCCTCTTCATCTTTCAATCAAAAGTTGGTTTTCAGCTTCAGCCTTATAGATCTTGAAATAGTTCAAAGCCTCATCCTTAGATTTCAGAAGATACACATGATAGTATCTAGTGGAGTCATCAATTAACGTCATAAAATACTTCTTTCCACCTTTTGTCAAAATACCATTCATTTCACATAGATCTGAATGTATGAGCTATAATGGTGCAAGATTTCTCGTTTCCGCAGTCACATGAGACTTACGAGGTTGCTTAGCTTGCACACACACTTGACACTTAGATCCCTTGACAGTGGTGAAACTAGGGATTAAGTTTAACTTCGCTAGTCGCGACATGCAACCAAAGTTAACATGACAAAGACGTGAATGCCACACATTTGATTCACTATTGTTGCAAACATGATTAACAACTTTATTGCAAACGTTTGATAAGGATAAACAAAACAAGCCTCCTGACTCATAGCCTTTACCAACAAAGGTTCCATACTTGGATATTACAAATTTATTTGACTCAAAGACAAGCTTGTAGCCATCTCTACATAGAAGAGATCCGCTAACAAGATTTTTATTGACGGAGGGGACATAATGCATGTTCTTCAGCCACACAATCTTCCTCGAAGTAAACTTCAGATCGACCATGCCAACACCACGAACAGAAGCACTTGAACCGTTGCCCATCAACACGGTGGAAGTCCCATGCGGTCTGATAAGACGAAAACATTGAAATATCACCGCATACATGCACATTAGCACCCGTGTCAATTAACCAATCAGGAGAATGAAATACTGAAAGAATAGTGGGAAATATACCATAGCCAGCATCCTTCATGTCAGTGTCTCCAATGACAACATTAGCGGTCTTGCTGCCTTTCCCAAGATGACGCTTGTCATAGCGATTAGGGCAACTAGGAGCCCAATGATCAAGAGCTCCACACACATGACAAGCACCTTTCTTCTTGTCATTCTTCTTCTTGAAGTTCGTGTGTTGTACAACCTTGTTCTTCCCATCAAACTTTGCTTTACCATCAAACTTGCCCTTGTTCTTGAACTTGTGGGGCTGGAAGTTTTTCTTCTGTACCAGATTGGCACTAGAACCTCCCTCAATACCTCGAGCACGGTTGTCCTTTGCTCTCGCCTTTTCTTCCACATCAAGAGTACCAATGAAATCCGGAATAGAAAACTCCTGTCTCTTATGCTTCAGTAAGGTAGCAAAGTTCCTCCACGTGGGAGGAAGCTT